TGAATGTAACAGCTCTATTCTGAGGTGCACTCCCCATCTCTCTCTCTCTCTCTCTCTCTCGCAGTTATCTCTAAATGTGTGAAGGACATAGTTAGAGGCACTTGTTTGGAAAGCTCTATTTAGCCCCAGCAGAAAGCTCTGTTCACTGACACTGCGGTTACAGTGTGACCGGCACTATCCACACCAGCCTGCCGGAGTCTAACGTTATGTCCGCGATCAGACGAAACATGACTAGAAAGCGCCTCGGCTTAGCTGTGTTTGACCTATTCTGCTTCTGCGCTGGCTCTTTGATTTCTGCACACTGCAGGTGTAGGGCCAAGCAGGTCTGATTCAGCAAAAACAGAGCTGCTTCTTCAGTCAGCGTGCACGTCTCGATCACTCGGGCCAGTGTCAAGTGAGTTCATTTGAATACTGTGACACTCTAAAGCAAAAGGCTGATTAAAAAGCTGAGGCAGGCTTTAAGATCAATGCAAAAATGTGGCTGCACAAACTGCAACACGCTCATGCCAATCGCTGCAATTAGTAGGCAGTCTTTAACCCCTTAAAGCATGGATGTCCACTCTTATCCACAAAGAACTGGTGTGGCTGCAGGTTTTTATTCCAACAAAGCAGGAGCTCACATGATCAGATGATTAAACAAGTGGAATCACGTGTGTTCCAGCTTGTTTGGGATGAAAACCTGCAGCCACACTGGCCCTGGATAAAGATTGGACACCACTGCCTTAAAGGGACACTCCGGCCAGAATAACAATGTAACCATTTCTGTTGTAAACGTGAGATTTTCTGGTTTACAGACTACGACTACCCCCTTCTAATGGTGTGTCTTGAAGGTGGAGGTTTTTGTTAAGAGCCCTACATCTGCTTTGGGATGGAGTTTTTGGGGCGGTCTGTTGAAAATGTATTTATTTTTTCCACTAGCTGCTAAAGCAGAAGGAGGCATATAGCTAATGTAACTGCTAGGAAGAAAGATATCACACCTGTATTTGTTAGCCTCTACATGAGTGGTACATCAGTGCATTTCTTTGTCACTGTATGGGGGTCCCCAACAGTTGTATGACATATTTGCACAATGCATGCTGGGTATTGTATTGAGGAAACAATAAAAACACAAAATGTTCACACAGTCGTGAGTTATGTCAAACAAATGAGGATGAGAGATACAGTGCTGCACTGCAGAAAGTTACATAACATGACAGATACCATATTAGATGCTAGTTTTAGGCCAGAATGCCCCATTAAACTCTAGAATTTTATTCAGTTATTAGTCTTAAGGATTATTAGGCAGTAATAGGGCTGTCACTGGGTGGCTGTTAGTCTAGCCTTAGAAAAAGTGAGCCAGCAACCAGAAGGTCACGGGTTGGAATTTCAGGACTGATTGGTTATAACTGGTTGTGCCCATGGGTAAGGCACTTCAACCCCCCTTTGCCCCAGGCAGTGCTGCTCTACAGGCAGGAAAATGACAAATATTCCTTATAGGTTCAATAAAGTACATAAACAATAATAAAACATGCAGAGCATTTCAAAGAGAATTATGCATCATGTCAAATACCAACTAATTCTTGCAGATTCATTGAGGTCAGTTTTATGGATTAATTAAGCAATTATGACAACCTAATTGTGACAGTTATTAGAGTGTGGGCTGGAAAGTTTAAACATGCTGACAGGTCTGTAGAGTTTAAGCAGAGCTAAGGCCTACAGTCAAAAAATTGACCCACCAGAATATTACTGTAGCCCCACCCTTCCACTCAATAATAGAACAAACATGTCTTTAATCTGTGTGTAACTTAAGTTCTTATTTTTCTTTTAGATTGGTATTTTTTGAAATATTTTAGTAAAACAATATAGTATAATGTTATTAAATACTTTTGACATTCCTATTTGGGCATGCCTGGCTTGCAGGATTAGCTATCACACTGTGATCTTCAGCCTTTTTAAGAATTAATTTCAGGCACTTGTGTGTGCGCAGAGTAGAGAGAAAGAAAGCGAGACAGTCTGTGTTTGGTCAACATCACAGTGCAGTGAGAGTGTGTGTGAAGCTGAGCGTAGACCAGAAGGAGCTCTCTGAGTGGACAGATGTCTTGGTGCATGTTGGCCTTGTGGCCTCCATTGCCTTGTGAACCTGGGGACACACCTGTCCCTCCACAGGACGCCCAAAGTGATTTTGTGTGCCATTCATGTATCGTCTTGTGTTTCTACGTAAAAAGCCCATGGCAGAACAAGGGGGTCCTGTATGATTTTAGTTCAGCATTGTTGGTAATTTCCCTGTTCAGACTCTGTTGACTGATTATTTACCAGGTTTAGGAGGTATTTTAGAGCAGGGAAATCACCAAACTGTGCTGTTCCTGTGGCCCTCCAGAATCGGGATTGGGTACCCCTGGATGAGAAGGCAGTGTTTCATGGCACTATCAGGAGACAGCAGTAAAAACAAGGATGTCATGTTAAGAGAAGTGTGTCCCACTCCATCTGCCAAAGTGCTGTTCCTGTGCCACCGTATTGAGCTCTATGACATCTGTCCAGCTCCACAGGGCTCACAGAGGAAAAAAAGGCAACCCACAATAACAACTCACTTGGGGTTAACCCCTTGAATTCTAGATACCTAACTCATTTATTGATCTGAAGTCATTTTATTCAGTAGCCACTGTAAATTATTATGTGACTATTTTAAAACTTGAAAAGTTATGCAGCAATCAAAGTGAGAAACTAAAGTGTGGATGTACATTCAGGCCATTTGGGGTTTAAGGGGTTACAGTTATTTAGAATTGTAATTGATTGTCCAGATTTTAGCCCTGGCTTCTGTCTCCTGCCTGTTCATACAGTAATGCTGGGCCCAGAGCAGGTCTCCACACTCAAGTGTCTCCAGAGTGCTCTTCCACCACTATAAATATTTCATGCACCTAAATCGTTCTCCCCATTTTCCATGCTTAAGCTTCTCACCCACTCTCCCAGCCTTCACACAAATGTGGTCAAATGTTTTATTAAGCATGTGAAAAGCTTGGAGTACTGGAATGGGAAATCTGTGAATAAGGTTCACTTTTTAACCTGCTTTTTTAAAACAGAATGTGTTGGTCCGTACTCCCCAAGACCCCAGGCACAAAACCAGCGAGGAAAGCTGCATTATGACCAACTGAGACCACATTACACAAAAATCCCCCTAAATTAAGTCATTCTTAGGAGATATATGCATCATAACCCATTCCTAATCAGTGCCTGCCCTCCTAAAACCCACTATGAAAGATGTGTGATGTGCACTTAGTGGCAATGGCAGCAGGGGGAGTCTGAGTACCTAAATGGCTGAGATCATAACAGCACCAAGTTTTAAATCTAAGCCAGTTAAAATTCACTGTAGCCCAACAAGTCTGTACAAACCCTAACATAACCTGACCAAATTGAGTTTGAACCTGAAAGTAACCCCTCAAAAGTCTGTTTGGACCCAACTGCAGCACAAGAACTTTCTGTCTGAACCCAACTGTAGTCCAGCAAAATTCTATCTGAATCAGACTGTAGCCCCAATCTGAACGCGACCATAACTTGACAGAATTCTGTTTGAATATGAAAGTATCCTGACAGTATTCTGTCCAAATCCAATTGTTGACTGACAGAATTCTGTTTGAACCTAATAGTAAACCAACAACCTACTAAAATTCTGTGTAAACCCAACTGCAGCCTGCCTAAATTCTGTGTGAACCTGACTGCAACCTGCCTAAATGTTGTGTGAACCTGACTGCAACCTGCCTAAATTCTGTGTGAACCTGACTGTAACCTACCTAAATTCTGTGTGAACCTGACTGCAACCTGCCTAAATTCTGTGTGAACCTGACTGTAACCTGCCTAAATTCTGTGTGAACCTGACTGTTACCTGCCTAAATTCCGTGTGAACCTGACTGCAACCTGCCTAAATTCTGTGTGAACCTGACTGCAACCTGCCTAAATTCTGTGTGAACCTGACTGTAACCTGCCTAAATTCCGTGTGAACCTGACTGCAACCTGCCTAAATTCTGTGTGAACCTGACTGCAACCTGCCTAAATTCTGTGTGCATCTGACTGTAGCCCAACAAAATTCTTTCTGAAATCAACCATAACTCAGTGAAATTCTGTCTGAACCTGAACATAAACTGACAACGTTCTGTCTGAGCCCAACTGTAACCCACCAAAATTCTCTCAGAACCTTACAGAACCCAAAAGAATTCCATCATTCCAACAACATGAATTGACTCCAGTGTGCCAGTTTAAAAACTGTTTAAGGTAGTAAAAGTAGCAAGGAAGAATAAAATAGAGTAAAAAAAGGAAAACCACAGTAAATTCTGACCAAAATTTGTTGAAGATGGTAAACTTAAATGTGAAATGTGAATAGTCCTGTTGGTTTTGCACAAATATTTCTATTTAACTTTAATGTAAAATGTGAATAGTCCTGTTGGTTTCGAACAAATATTTTAAGTTGCTTCTGGTCATTGCTGTATCCTGGTTATCTGCATGTAACAGAACTTGGCACAGTGAGTGTCACATGACTTTGGGATGGCTGCTCTCCCTGCTGGAGTTATTAGAGGGACAGGCTGCTTGGTCACACTGTAGGTACTAAATCAGGTATTTGTGATGAAAGGCCCTGGAGAGAACAGCAGAGTAGCATGGGGAATAATTCGCAGAGAGAGAGAGAGAGAGAGAGAGAGAGAGAGAGTGAGTGAGGAGCAGTGGCAGCTCATATATACTAAATGCTCATAAATGCCTGCATATGTGCGAGTAGAGGATTCATGGCCGTGGTGCTGTGTGCTGCACAGGTATGAACTAACAGCGCAGATGGCCTCTTGAACCCCTACGGCTGCAGTTATAGCTGAGGAATAACTCACTCTTTTATAGGCTCTATTCTAAACACACATATCAAACGGAGCACTGGTGCAGGTTGTTATTATGTACCTGCCGTGTTACCATTTCAGTGATTTGTGTGTGGCAGACTGTGGGTTGTATGTGGAATGTCAGCGTCTTAAAGTCTCTCATGTGTGTTGCAGCTCCTCCCACCTTCACGGACACCCCACCACAGTACGTGGAGGCTAAAGAGGGAGGCAGCATCACTCTGAGCTGCACGGCCTTTGGGAACCCCAAGCCCTCGGTCAGCTGGCTACGGGAGGGAGAGCCCTTGCAGGACAGCGACAAGTATAAGGTGAGTCCAACTTCAGCCATCCAAATCCTAGTGTCACCTTTATGAGGGAATATTAAGAACTGAGTTCAGATCAGTAACCAAGGGCTTTTTGTGCCAGTACTTGCGCATTAATCTTATTTTTCATCTGTGATCAGGGTTAGATCTACAAGGTGGCAAGGGGTGACAGCTGCCACCCCCTCTGTGGCACTTGCCACCCCTAGCTGCCACCCCAATTCTGTGGCTCTTCAGTATGACGCAAAATTGTAATAAATACAGCATGTCTGTATTCCAAGAATTCTTGAAGTGGGCAGGAATATTGTATTTTTAAAAAAGTCTATTATTAATTAACACAAGGAGCCAATCGGTGGTGAGAAATCACAAGACACATCTTGGTGAGCAAGCTGCTTTCCCACTCGGAACCCACACGGGGTGGGGGGGGTGTCACAAGGCTGCTGCTAGAGGAGTGAGTATAGATGGAAACAGTAGCTTATTTATGTAAAGTCTCATATTAAAAAACAAGCAACTAATTTCACTGCAGTGATGCAGTGTCATGACCGAATGTGGACACGTTTGTGCCGAGTCATCAGATGATGGGGAACATGTTAGTGTGTTTACATGAGTGTGGTTAGTTTAAGGCAGGGGTGTCCAAGGTCCGGCTCCAGGACAAAATGTGGCCTGCGGACAGATTTTAAGTAGCCTGTGGCTTGTGTTTTAGAATGCGTTGTAAGTGGCCTGGTAGCCAATATGTTACAATTTTTCTGTTCACCTGATGGTGGCATTTAGTTTATTTAACACTACAGCCACAAAAGCACAATCTTGACAATGAGAACCGGCGATTTTGGCTAAATTAACATTTACAGTGATGGGAAACACAGTACACTCTCAGAAAAAAGGTATGAGACTGTCACTGGGGTGGTACCCTCAAGGGTACATCTCAGTACATTTAGTCAGAGAACATAATTATACCATAATCCATTGAAATCATGTTTTATTTTGCTTGATAACTTCATCGTCGTCACTCCTTGATGAATACAGTTAGGCCCAATCCCACTTCCTATTTTTACTCCTACCCCGTGTTTTCGAGGTTGACCTTGCCCTTTTGGGACTGCGTTACAATGGGTAGTGGCTAGAATCTCCCCCTACAAAATGGGACAACCCTCAAATAAAAAAGGACATTACTTCATTAACAGGCTACTAGCAGTGCTCTATAGGCAGCCCTGCCAGTCTGCAGTGACAGGAGAGGAGGGTAAAGTTCAGCAACCTCACTGCTGGTCTTTAGTTAAATTTAATTCATTATATGCCTTCAAAGAGGGGAATGTGATAATTATTTATTATTAACCATTTTTGGTGATGTGAAGCTGATGTCAAGTATTTGCTAGCTATTCTTGTTTGTATTTTCCAGTTCCACCTTAAATGGAGCAGCAGTTACATTTCGGTAAATCAGGCATCAGTACTGCTGGACTATTTAAGGTGGAATGGGAAATTTAGCTAGCTAGCTACCAAGATATAAGCAAACTACGAGCCTCTGAAAACCCTCTGTTTGGAGGGCCATGTAGCCCTAACACTTTGCCCTACCCCTCTATCTCAACAAAAATTGGGACGCCCTACCCTTAGACGTGAATATGCAAAACGGAGGGCTAAGGGCTAAGTGGTAGGGGCAAGAGGTAAAATGGGATTGGGCCTGATTCTCCTTGTGTGCTCACAGTGAAAAAAAACACATTGGAATTGATGGGAAAGTTTCAGTGTGTTAGAAATCATATCTGCGAAAAGCACGCCACTATCAATATCTTTAATGTAAATCTAATAAATCCACCTCCTCCAGGCAAAAAATGTAAACAAAACAGAGCTGATATGATGGGCAGGACAAATAAGACCTTGAAAAAGGAGGGAGGAGCTGCTAGCAGTCAGTTCAGCTCTACTTTTTCAATCAAGCACCAACATCTGACCAACAACTTACATGCAACACTGTTGTTTGTAGGTTTTGCTATTTGAGTAGGAAAACATCCATATTTACATTGTAAATCCGTACTAAATAGACCTGAACAGTGTTGCATGATATTGTCCTACAAATGTAAATGATCTTACATTTGCTGGCATAAAAACACATAGCAAAAAAATATCTGTTCCCTGAAACATCAATGTGCCACCCTGACAAAACTCCCTGCCACCTCTGTGCTACCTAAAAATTTTCTAGATCCATCACTGCATCCATGCATTTTAAAGGGGTCAGTTGGATGTGAGGTAATAGCAATTTTCCAAAAAATACTGCTGATGGACTGTTTGGTGACACTTTATTCTGAGTGGTCCTTTTTAGATGAAATAAACACTCAACAGACTCTCAGTAACATAATCAACAATATATCAGTGATGTACCAGCAGTGAATGCATTCAGTAGATTATCAAGAGACTTTTAATTAATTGCATAAATAAGATTTGTTTATAGTCTAATAATTCAGTTGTTTTTCACTTTATTTGGTGTCCAAGTTCACATATGTAGATGTAATACAGACCATCTCAACATCCTCAACAAGCTGTTATAGACCTGCTGCTGACATGATTCTGTCACTGGAGTTTGGGTTGAGGTTAGGATTATGGTTATGATTAGGGCCAAGGTGAGGGTTAGGATTAGGTTTTGGGTTGAGGTTAAGGTTAGGATTGGGGCCAGGGTGAAGGTTAGGATTAGGTTTTGGGTTGAGGTCAAGGTTAGGGTTAGGTTTTGCATAATGGAAGCACCATATATACAAGTATAAAGAGTGTTTAATGTAATATCTCATTAACACATCTACCTAATGTATCAACAGTATATCTTCAAGATATTTACCTCAATTTATTCAGATGCTGCACTACTGCAAATTCACTGCTACTTCACGGATGTGTTGTTGACATGGTACTGATTCTTTGTTAAGAGTTTATTAATAAGCTACAAAGGACCACTCAAAATAGTGTTACTGACAGTTTTCTTGTCTCTTTTACCATGATGAAAATAGAACTGATGTCATAGTTCAACTAATTTGTGTCACTTCAAAAATGTAGATGTTTCTGACTTCGAAAGGTATTGCCTCATGGTGGGCAGATACTTGAGACCACTTGAAAGCAGCATAAGCTGCAAAAACAGCCTGTTTTGAACTCACTCACAGGGCAGTGGGGTCAGCACACATCACACCCATGTGATGTCCATTCAGATTTCTTTATAAAAAAAAATTGAAATATGAAAAACTTGTACAATTTTGACTGGATGGTCTCAGACTATAGCACAGTACAGTATATGAGTCTTAGAGACAGTAACAAAAATGGCTTGTATTTGTATTTATAAGAAGAGAGGGTGGAGAAATGGTCATACAAAAGGAATTATCACTGGTTTTGGTAAACAAAATCATGCAAATGTTGTAAATGGAATTACATAAGAAAAATATAAGACTATGGCCCCTTAAAGTGTAATAGACAGTGCAATAACGTCTCATTATGTCAGTCCATGAAAGTGACAATATAATGACACGCATATGTGACACACGTCTACAGCCCATATAAAATGAAACAGTGTGCCATAAACACACGCTCGTTTTCCTGTATTGAATACAGATGCTAATCTGTGCTGTAACATGCACTGGATCTCATTAGAGCTGTGTAAGCGTGGCTCTGCATACAGCCTGCTAGCATTCATGTGACATTTTAGCCAATTTATTTTTTATGGCTTTGCTTTAATTTGATATGGAAATTAGTGCCGGCTCTCAGACGAGGAAGAATGATCATCCAGAGCCAAGGGGAGGCCCTGTAGCACGCGTCATGGTATACTGTCACATTCGCTTAATTGAGCCATGCTTATATTGGCAGGGAGGGATATGAGTGGAGGATATAGTGGGGCTGGGAATGACAGGCAAATGCTGTTTTTTTTTCCCTTCTCTCATGAGCATGGACAAATACTCCACTCTCCATTACCATCTTCCACTTCACGCTCCTCTCCCCTGTCAAAATGCTACACGATTGTAATATTGACTCAGAGGGAGGAGAACACAGTGCTGGTGCGTGTTTTCACCAGCGCTCATCCGCTCTCCCTTCTTCAATGAAGAGAATGTTGTCAAAGCGGGTGTGTGTGTTTGAGTGCGTATGTGTGTGTGTGTGCGTGTGTGTGTGTGTGTGCGTATGTGCGTGCGTGTGTGTGTGTGCGTGTGTGTGTGTGTGTGTGTGTGTGTGTGTGTGAGTGTGTGTGGCTCCGCTGACAATGCGAGTGCTCTCACTGCTGGTTGTGTACCTGAAGGGCATGTCAGTGCACGGCCTGTGAGCAATTTCTGATCTCTCTCTCTCTCGCTCTTTTTCTTCCAATGCCACTCTCTCTCATTCCCTTTAAACTTAAAGTCAAAAAAGTTTCACGTGTTTTCAGATATTTCATGTTTTTTTTTTTCACATGATGCACATTTTTATTTTTCATTTGTGATTTTCTCGCATCATGATTCATTCATTTATGTGAAGTTGAATGTGTTTTTAGACTTGGCATGTGATGACGTGAAATGCGTGTGATTTTTCTGCATTCTCTCTTTTTCTCTCTGTCTCTTTCTCTCTCTCTCTTTCTCTCTCTCTCTCTCTCTCTCTCTCTCTTCTCACTTTTTCTGTTTCCTCTCTTCCCCTCTCTCTTTCTCTTTTCTCCCTTTCTCTTTCTTCTCTGTCTCTCTCTCTCTTTTTGTCTGCATTCTGTTTTTTCTCCTTCTTTGTCTGCTCTTGTCTTTTCTCTCTTTGTCTCTCTTGTTTACTCTTTTTTCCTCTCTCTCTCTCTCTCTCTCTCTCTCTCTCTCTCTCTCTCTCTCTCTCTGTCTCTTTCTCTGTTAAATTTGTCCGATGAAGTGTTTTGAGCTGGAGTGCTGTAGTGTGTGTGTGTGTGTGTGTGTGTGTATGTGTGTGTGTGTGAATGCTTGGTCACTCTGGTGATCTTTGGGAGCATTAAGAACATGCGTGTGTGTGTGTGTTTGTTTGATTGACAGGTGTCTCCGTAGAGTGCAGCGCTGCAGCTGCCACTCTTAGAACCCATG